ATAATTCCCGATGATTTTGTTAACTATTTTATTCGGGAATTCCCGCAAATTGGAAGCCTTAGTGATTTTTAAGTGAAGACAAAATATTATTTCAATTATTTTATCTAATTAATTACGAGCCGTAATTTCGGGCAAATGCTAGTACACACTATTTGTGTGTTCGCACTATTTGTGCATAAATTTAAATAAAGTTTCATTTTTTTAAACAAAATTTTTAAATCAAATTCATTAAAGTTATTGTGAAAATCATTATAACATTAAACATATAAAATATTAATAATTATTAATAACTAATAAATATATTTATATGAATATAAATAATGTTGTTTTTATTTAAACATAGAATTGAATTTAGTTTATACATTAATAAATATATTCATAATGATTGTAGTAAGTGATAGATGTATTTGTTTTATTGATTAAATTCAGAGTTAAACAACAATACGTATAATAAAAAATAATTAATCAAAAAATTTATAATTAAATCCCACTTTTAGGACATAATAACAATTAATTATGTGACATTTAAAAAATATTTTAACATGTTTTAATATTTTGGTTCATAGTTTTTAATGACATTGCTATTCAATATATACAGTATACGTATTTATTAACTTATACCGTTATTAATTTTATTGAAAATATTGACCTTGTTAAATATATATTGTAAAAATATACTGTAGAATCTACAGTGTAGATTGATTAAATTATTAATTGATTAATTTAATTTATATTTTTCATTTGTATTTTATTAAATAAATATATTCTTAATCACTATCATGTAAATCTGATACAACATTTTGTTCCTTACAGTATTATTAATAAGTTATTAACACAAATGATATCATAGTAAAACTCAATTTATGAAAATTTTAAATTATAACAGTTGTTAAATAGTTTTTATACAATAGTTTATATAGTTTACGTCTTACTCATTGTTTAAGGCGTGTATTACATTATAAAACCGAACTTAGAATTCAATTTAGAATTTAATCTATAATATTAAAGCATTGAAAAGGAAAATATAAAAAGCGTAACATACAATAGGGGGTGGGAGGGGCGTGAAAACTATAGAGAAGGATAGAAAAGTGGGAGAGGGAGTGTGTAACAGAGTTTGTGGACGGGATTGACCGTTAGTTTTATAGAATTATAATGAAAAATAATAAAGTAGAGAATCTATTGTATAACGCAGTTATTGGGATATTTGGCATTTCACTATGTCACAATAAAGTTATATTTTGCAATATGAACAATTATTCATATTTGCACTTATTGCCATTATAAACTTATGTTCAACCAAAACATCCAAAATAATTAATCACATAATAATAATTAATATTTTGACATTATTCTGTTCCAGCGATATAAAATAACCTTGATGCCATATAAATATCTGTAAAAACAGTTTATTTGAGTAACTTATAAGTTTTGATGGTTTGATTGTTTGAATTCTTTGAAAATATTATCATTGCTACCATAATGCAAAAAAATTTAATTTTAATTGTTTTGGCTATTTTTACTCTAACAATAATATCAGGTAATGATTAGATCGTATATTTTATATTAGTAGTTAAATCTATATAATTCAATTTAAAAATAAAAGTGTAATAATTCATAATACATTTAATTCTAGTGGATATAACTTTACAACTAATATTTATCTAATTAATTTCATTATCCGTATTACTAGTAAATGAGGTAGAGTGTGGTGGCTGTCCATTTGGTTTTGAGATAGGTGATTTGTCTGGTGTTGGCGATGATAGACCCGGAGCTCTATTGAATAGCATTAAACAAATGCATTCCTCCGTCGAAGAAGAAGAAGAAGAAAACGATAGTCAAGAATCATGTGATTCATAGATGTTATCATAACTATAATTTTATTACAAATATTTATTAAATAAATGATTATTTGTTAAAAACGATTACAGTTTTGTTTATTATAATTTATCTTAAAATTGAATTTTGAATATAACTAATGCTATGATTAATTTGAATGTAACTATAGTGATAAAACATGTTGTATTTGTCAAATAATCATATCAGCAAATATTTATATTTCATTTATAAATTATAATTTAGTAGCTTTTAAATAATTATATAAATTTCAACTAAACAATTAAGTGAAAATAATGCAGTTTTAATTTATGCTGTATTTTAAATAATATTGTAGGAATTGGGCCGAAAGGCCCGATTACTAGAGATCAGACTTTTATGGACACTAATTCAGTATAACTTGGCTTTTAGTTAAACACAAATATATTTATTTATTATAAAGACTTTTACAATAGTTGGAACAGACAAGTGATAGACAATTAATACAAGTAATCAATGGCTTATATACCAATTGATAGGAAATACATACATAAACATTTCATATAAAATATAAATGAGTTAACAGTAGTTACACAATAATTTCATAACATTTGTCACAGGATTTTAATATTGGATTTAAATCAAACAATAACTCATAACAATTCACAGGAAATACTGAGAACTTTAACTTAAAACATAAATTTGTTTATAACTAAATTTCCGCTCTCTACAATATAATATTGCATTACAAATGATAAATAAATTTAATAATAGGAATTACTGTTTTGCGTATTTTTCTTACTTCTCTTCTCAGAAACAAATGAATAGAAAATAACAGCAAAAGTGCAAAAAACATGCATAAAGTGAGTAAATATACACAAAAAATGATGTGAATTTGTCTCCTCTTCACCAAACAATTGATACCATCGGTTGAGGACATCGAAGTGATCATAAATCAATGGTATGAGTGACACACAAGCCGTACAATGCATTGTATAGCTGTGGTCACACAGTATGCCAATAATGCATACAATGAGTGGTATGGCGTGTATTAACACATTCATTACTCTCATGCCGTTTAGATTGAGGATCGGGTGCTCCACTTTAGTCTCATTATATGGTTTGTGACCGACAGATATGGTCGACACCAACCCTTTCATAGAGTTCTTGTAATTCCATTGATTTGCGGTCGTATTCTTGGAACCGATTACTTCCAACGATATCCATAAACCAATTGTAACTATAATAGTGATGGGAATTAAAGCTTTAGAAATGGAGTAAACCCACGACATTATTGTAGCCTCTCGTCTAAACTATAGTTTGGTCTCACATTCTGTTTTATAGTATATTAAATGAATTGAAAATCAATATAATAGATAATGTTAAGATAGTTAGCACTGGTGGTACAAAAACATTAATAAATTGTCATTGAAACTTTACTTCACCTAATAGTACTTTTATTACAGTACGGTATAATACTGTATAATATTATTATTAAATATGATAAGTATGAAAAACATTAATACCTATATAATATATTTAATTTAGTGTTTATAAATAAAATATTAGTATAAATATGACGGAATTTTTAAAGCAATGTTGTGGTGTAGCGTTAGGACTGTTGTCTAAATGAGTTGTTTGGAAGGCACTGTTTACTAGACACTACTTTTTCCTGTCAAATAATTCTCTTTCGATTGCCAGTGTTCTCGTCCGACAATTTTTGATGACAGTCACAGGGACTGAATTGCACGACATATTTAAAAAAACATTTTGAAAATGATTTATTTAATTATAAAAGCATTTAATTTTATACAATGTTATCTTTATTTAATTATTGCTTTTTAGAGCATAATTATGGAAAACAATTTTAAACAATCTTTTAATATAAAATTGAATTATAGCCAAATCCATTGACTCCATATCCCAATCCGTTTAAGCCTAGTCCAAGACCAGCTCCTAAACCATACGGATTGAATCCAACATTATTTATCAGTGGGTTTATAACAAGAGGGTTGTATGCGTTCAATCCATAGTTTAAGCCTCCATAGCCCACACCAGCGTAGCCGAGACCGCCATATCCGAGGCCACCATAGCCTAGACTTCCATAGGCGAGACCGCCATAGCCGAGACCTCCATCGCCTAGACCTCCATAGCCCAGACCTCCATAGCCTAAACCGCCATATCCGAGGCCACCATAGCCTAGACCTCCATAGCCTAGACCTCCATAGCCTAGACCTCCATAGCCTAAACCTCCATAGCCTAGACCGCCGTATCCGAGGCCACCATATCCTAGACTTCCATAGCCTAGACTTCCATAGCCTAGACCTCCATAGCTTAGACCTCCATAGCCTAAGCCTCCCAGACTGTGTGAAACTGTTGATACGCTGCCACCAAATGGACCCGAAGAGGTTGAAGAGGAACTTGACTGTTGGACAGGTTGTTGCGGCGTATTATCAATTGGTAGAGATAATGCGGTCGCAAACAATAGAGTGGCGCACAATAGTCGTAGCATTTTCCAAATATATTACCACACAATAGCTTTTAAATCTATAATACTTTAAGAGTTTAGACTAAAATGGTAACTTTTTTGGTTCAGATGTTTTGTACGACTGGTCTTATTTGATTCAGTCCGTATGGTTTTAATATTTAATAAATGTTAAAATTAATATTAACCAATCAAAGTAATTTAATAATAAGTATTATTAAGTGTTTTATTTTTAATTAAGTCATAGAAAACTTAAGAAAATTCTCAAATATATTTTATTAACACATTTTAATTTATAATTAAGTTGTTTTATATTCCAAATATGTTTGCATGAAATGTAACTACATTTTCTCTCATATATTGATGTTGTTTCAACATTTTTGTATAATTCAAATTCAGTTAAGTTCTAAGTATATAAAGTTTAATAATTACAATAAATATTGATTGTATAACAATATTTTGTAATCATATCTTAAAAACAACAAATTTAATATCAAATACCTTATTAATTTATAATGAAATGAAATGCAAATTTAATCATATTACATTTAGCGTTGCTAAAAATATTTTAGATTTCCTGTATAATTGTGCAAATGTTACCAAAAATTCCTGTATTTTCCTGTATTCAATTATTTGTAAATCAAAACTTTAAATTCAAATGTATTTATAATTGAGTTAATTATGTTTAATTTTTTTAATCACTAAATTTTTAAAATATTTATTCCTGTATTTTTCAATGTACGGGAATGACACCTTCCTGTTCTCTGCAATATTCTTTAATTCCTGTATATCTGACAATGCTAATTACATCCCTGTCCGAAACAACAAAACAATAAACTAACAATCAATATTTCTAATTATATTGTATATTTTTCTATATTCTTTATTAATTTGTTGATTGATGCAACTTTAAATTATTTTATTATTACTGAATTATAACTATAAAATTTAAACAAAATAATAGGAACAATAATAATATAATAAATACTAATACATTATTTTGAGAAACATAGTTTTATAATTGCCATGTGCTAGCTATAATAAGTCCTAAGATGCTATTTATGATGGAAGAGACAAAGGATGAAGTGATTTATTTAATTCATGGCAGCCATGAATGAATTGCGGTCATTATGCTAATGGGCGACACATTTGGTTGCGATGCGATGGCTTGATAAACAAGGAATGATAGTTTAGATCCGACTCCCATTAACCAGTGTAAGCCCTGTTGAGCGCCGGCCGCTAATTGTTGCTGAAAATGGGCCGAAGAGTGGAATTGTCTGTTGAAGACATGGACAGTGATTTTGTGGGCCTGAATACCAGCGGCCGTCAGCGTTGGGATTGTAATACAGTTGCGGCCAATTGTTTGTAGAGGAGATCGCTGGCCACCAAAGCCCTGTTGTATAGCATTGCCAATAATGCTTTCAAACTGAGGCCTCAACAGCCGCTGGTGTGGACTCTTTCTGTTGCAGATGAACCAAAATCAACTGTTGCTGATGTATGGCATCGGCAGCTAATTTCTGCTGTTGAATACCTGCTAATCTCTGCTGTTGTATAATTTTAAGTAATTTATAATAAAATTAATTGATAAATTTTTATTCATATACATGTAAATCAGATCAAATTAGATCAAATAGATATTAATTGTTGATAACTTTGTAATAGTATGTATCTATTTGTGAGCATTTTTTGCGCAAATTATTTGAATATTTATATGAATATTGTTTAGTGAATTGATTGTATGACCATATGTTCAATTTTTATTATTCTTTTTAGTTAAAAGTTAAAAATTATTACAAAATAATAACTGGTTAAACATAAAATATTGTAAATCCAATAATTACTCTGAAATCAATGAAATGCTAAAATTAATTTATGATTTATAAAATATTAATAGTTTATTGGCTTAAATTAATTAATTTACTAATTTATAATAATAAATAAATTAAATAATTTAAAAAGATTGCAATCAAATAAATTGAAAACTTTTATTTAGTTAGTTAACAGACTGTTAATACGGACGTAATTGTTGTGTGTAGTGTCATAATGAGAACATAGACAACACTGACTGCATTGCCAACAGTGACTGCATGACTGTATTGACTGCATTGACAACAACAACAAACCAATGAATTGGTTGTGAAACGAGTGTAGCATTAGTTAACTCGAAGACACATTCGCTTCACTCACGGGTTGACCACAACTGACGCTATAGTCAATTGGTGTGACTCTCGGCCATTGGTTGCAACACTTGGCACACATCGTGAGCACATCGTGGCTCAGGAGGAATGCCATCGAAGAAGAAGAAGTACAACAGCCGCTTCCCACCGGCCAGGATCAAGAAGATCATGCAGTCCGATGAGGAGGTGGGCAAAGTGGCCATGGTCGTGCCCGTCATCATCTGTTAGTACCACTCATTGTCGCCCATTGTGGCACTCATTGCCATTAGTGTCATTACATGTCATTACATTACCTTCTCATTCGCAGCCAAAGCGTTGGAAATGTTTGTCCAGTCGTTGTTGAGGTCGTCGTCGGACATCACTCGAAGCCGTAACGCCCGGACTCTCACCCCTAACCACATGTTTGTGCCGCATATGTTGTCAAGCGATACATGTTATATAATCTATGGTTTGATTTGTTTTGTGAGCAGAAAATCATCGATTCTGAGCGAAGATCAGTTCCACTTCCTTCGAGACATCGCTCACACCATACCTGACGTGAATCCGGGCGCAGACGGCGACGACGACGAGACCGGTTCAGCGCCCGTCACGGCCGGTGCCTCGCAGTCGACGGCCACAT